TGGCAGATCCACCATTCACTATTCGGAAATTCCGGTAATAAGACGCGGCAGTTTGCGACCCTAAAGCAATGGGCAAGGCAACAGCAGGATGTAATGAACTTGCTGCTGCATTGTTATGAGGTTTCTCAAAGGGACCCAGACTGAATTTGCTGGCGGCCAAGAAAGTGGTTTTAATCATGCGATGACAAGGCATGGCTCAGCAATAGCCGTTACGAGGAATCTCAAATGAACGAATGAACAAGCGGTCAATATAAAATTGTTGGGCAGACCCTCGTCACTCCGCGGCTTCCGACAAAGTCCTCGAAGCCGGCCGGCAGTAGAACAAGGAAGACTCTAGCTGGATCAGTAACCTCTCCGGCGGACTAGTGGCAATTCATCTAAGCCATCAGGCAAGGATCGGGGCCAGGCGTGGTCTATTTCTATGGGAGTGGCTCCACGACGATGAAGTACGGACAATTCTAAAGAAGGTCCTATTGTGTCACGATGCTCTCTGATAGGACGGTGATATGGTCTCTAAAGAAGCATGCATGCTACAGATGGCTGGGGAAGTGTCGAGGCCCTGTCGCTCGGCAGACAACATAGATGGCCGGTTCCTCGTAGGCAGTACTTTATACGTAAGCTTTTACCCTCGTCAAAGGATTTAGAAAAAAACGAAAGAGATAGTGATTAGCAAATAATTCAGGGGGTTTACACGACGTAGTAGGGGTCTCTAACATTGTCGCCCATATGATTATGATGTTCCTATTGGAGAAGGTAAAGACGCCCTTTGAAAGGTGGGCATCTATTCTGTCGAATGCCTGTTGGCGGTATCCGGAGTCATGCACGGTGATGGTTGTATTACAAGGACTTCTGGGGGAAGTGGCAAGCCGCCTTGCTTGCAGTGTGTCCACTCCCACCAGGCTGTGCCGTTGTGGGCATGTTTTTTTTCTCCTTCCCGCAGAAGTTGTTGGGGGCTGTGGAGACGTTTCAAAGTCATGCAGCAAAGGCTTGGCGGCGCCTTTATCGAAATCAACGCCTGCCAAATTACTACTGCGACTTTTGCAAAATAAGGAGTACGCAGTGACCATGTTCGTCACGGCGGCGTCAAATGCGAGCGCCTTCTAATGGAGCGGGCTGGTGTGTTGGACCATTCTCGGGCGTATCGCTCTTCATGCGTTGAGCTTTGGCCAAGTTTGCCTCCTGTGGGAAACAGCCCCCTTCTCACCGGGCAGACAATGGTAACCAGATATTTTTGGGTGAATTTTCTGGACAGGGATATCCGAAGAGATAGCAAAGATGTGATGGTAATGAAGCAAGGCGATAGCTTAACTGATCTTTGGCGGAATCAGACTTCGAAAACACCCTTGCTTTCCTCCTAATATATCTGCCCGATTTATTATATGGAGTGCCAGCGACTCAGATTACTGTGTACATAGTAGACGGCCATGTCATGTAATTCTCAAAAGTCCACTTGTTAGAAACGTGAATCCACATCATTGGCCGTGATAGAGTCCACGGTGAAGTCCATGACCCATGCGGTGAAGCATTCAATTGATACCAGCCCGAACAAGGGACCGGCGCCATCAGAGGGCCGTATGAAATCAATGGTGATATTTGTCCGTCCAATGGAGGGAAATGCTCGTATAGCAATATATTAAAAAGACTGATCTAGCTTCATGAACTGTATATAGGCTCAAATGTGAATGGGCACCCAGGTCAATCCACTCGCCGATTCGCGTTGGCAGCATTTTTGATAGAAAAGTGGTGCTAGGCGGTCGTTGGAGATTTCACCAACGCAAACAACAGACAGAAAGGTAGTCTACCTACAATGGACAAGGTCCTGGACACAGGATATTGCTTGATCCAAAGAAAAGGCTTGGATTGCGATTCGGTTACTTGTATTAGGGTAGCAATTAAGGCCTAGTGCCCGGTTCTTGTTGTTTCCCAATGTAAATCAGGAGCTGAAAAGGCCGATCCGCCTGATGGAATAGACGAGGAATAGATTAAAGATGAGATGACCCCGATTGATTATACGAAGTCGGTCTACCGATGAAACGACCTTTTTCTAGACTGCATCTGGTGCGGCTGGCCTGTATGTCTCCAGCATAGATATTGAACCCCCAACTTTGAGTGGATTCCAGCCGGGAAATCTGAGAGCGAGAAGAATATCGTATTCGTTCGTTTTCGTTCAGCTTTAGGGGATGGACGGTGAAAGGCCAATTGTAATAGGTGGCCGGAAACACAGCGCCCACTTAACGCCTCTTCGGACCGCAATCTCGGGGTGGGCTTGAAGAAGGACGTTACCCACTCACAATTATCTCTGTTGGTCTTCGGCCACCTCTGGTCGGATGACTGCAGAGCCCCGTACCGGGCAAGCTCAGGTCCCTTTTTTCATTTTCTTTTTTTTTTTTTTTTTCATGCCGAATGTGGCCCCAGCCGGGAGGCCTCACGGAGGATCGGAGGACCGCACGAACGGTTGTTGAAGTCGGCCGTCCAAGCCGGTTGAAGCAATGAGCGAAGCCTTTTTTTCCCAGTAGAGGGTGTTGATTCTACAGGAACGACAATGTGTACTCCATCCACGGTCTCGGCCTGGCCAGTTGGCCGATGACCTTGCCTTACCTAAGGTACCTTATGAAAATGTGCGCTGATCTGTGGATGATTGACCCTGGGCCAATATACAGCACTGATGGCCTGGGCTTGGCATCATCTCCTTTCCCGAAAGTCTTGGCATCACGTTTCTGGAGGTGGTATGGGAGAATGGACTAACTGAATATGGCACCACATTGGTGGGAAAAGGGGACTTTGGAAACTGGCACCAATAGTCTTGTTGGAGCGGGTAGAGCGATGGTATCCGATCTCCGCCCCATGTGTTTTTTTTTTTTTTTTGTTCCCTAGTACTCTGCAAATGTACCTGTGGATTATTTTTTACACCGCCCCAAAGGGCAATGGAAGAACGCCGACCGGCTGTTACGTTCTATTCCTATGCGTTCCGATTTAATAGGAGTCGGGATCAGATCCAACTAGAGATAAAGGAACGAGGCAGTTACCATTCTGGCTGGAGAAGCCCCCCTTGATGCGCCTCAGTTGACCTACAACTACTGTTACATCCACTCACACTCAAGACGGTATGAGTTGGTGATATATTGCAGAAACTGGAGATAGTGACCTGACCTGCATTGAACCCGGCGGGGTCGTACACAATTTGGACGGTCACAGCGCGAATAATTCCGTGTGTCCAATCCACCAGTGAATGGATCTGGCGTTTGGGATGGCACGGTGAAATCTGATCAAAGAAAACTGCTACTTTACCAGCTACACCCATGTTTGTCGAACCCTCCTCGGTGTTGGCAACGATACCCCCCGGAATTCCGATCCAGGCCCACGCAGGCCGGCGTAATATTGAGTGAACAATGCGGTGAAGGTTATGGGTAGGCGATTGCACCAGGCACTTAGTGGCTTCTGGAAAGTATGTCGCGACCAACACCACAGCTTAAGGATGGTCCCTGACCTGGTTGAAGCAGCGACCCACTAACCTTGCCGTGACGTTTGGCAGATAGATTTTTTTTCCCTTCCTATGTAAGCTTTTGCCAGGATATCAAGCGATGTATGGAAAGGTAAGATTCAGGACCAGAGTTCAGGAGTAAGGTACTGCAAGTAATCGAAAAGAAAGCACCCTGGGGTTCATTGACATCCCCGCAAATAAGACAGCTGATTGCCGGAAAAGAGGGGAAGAGAAAGCAAGCAAAGCTGAGAAAAAAGAAAGCGGCGCGCACCCAGTTGCTGGAGGTCACCAGCGCGCATTGCCCGTTTCCGCGAGACTGGGAATTATTCAGGACCGTGGTAACGGGTCTTATCTAAATGGAGGTGCCCCAGTTCATCTCCCCTCGATATACAAGCACAACAAGGGTGGTGGCGAATGGGAGCATTTCCCGTACACTAGCGCCAATTGCTGGCTCGGAAACAACAGCGGATTATGGCCGATAATTTTGGACGACCTTTTTTTTTTGTCTTGTGTTCACCTTCACCCTGAGGTTGGGTAATGTGACCTCAGATAACCAGCTTCAAACCCTCCCCCCAGCTTTCCTAACTGGGAATGCCCCACCCTTCTGGGCTGTTCTTTTGGGCGCCCACTACCCCTGTGACAGCCCCTGACTTGTTTCATGGGAGAAGAAGCAGAGTGCCACTTTTTAGACAAATACGAAATGCACACTTACTTGAAGATAGAGTGGGCAACAAGGTAGCCTAGACTGTCCAACTTTTCATGGATGACGCTTATGCTCCCCCCTGGGCCGGTGGGCAAATTGGTGCTGCAAATGGCCCCCCCCAGTCGTACTCCGTACCTTGCCCAGCGTTTGCCTTGACATGTCAAGCCGAAGCAGTTATTCTGCCCCCCTCCCTTTGATCAGAGTGACCGGTTCCTGCGTAAGGATCGCGGCTCGCCGAAGCGTCTGAACCACTCTCTGATATCAGTGTGGATCATATCGACAGGGAAGGAAGGCTCTGCCCGAAATTGCATCGGTCCTCATCGTGCTTGAATCCCTCTCTCTGTCTGGGCCACACCTCCCAAAGAAACCCTTGCGCTTCACCTGCAGCGGCGCCGTCCATATTGCACTCAATCTCACTCAACCTCACTCTCCAACAGGCATTGTGCTGTGGAGCGAGTGTTGTTCTGGATGGGCCTCAGTCCTACCTTGGCTAGCCCGGGGGGAAAGCTTGTGTCTATGAACTGGTTCAAACTACCAGGTTCCACTCGGGGGGGAGAGGTCCTTGGCTGAGGGATGCGGATTGCAGCAAGAGTCGGGAGATTCTTTGCTCTGGAATTCTAGATATAAGAAGCCGTCAGATGCCCGGGCAATATTCCTTTCCTCCTCATCCTCTCATCAGCATCTCCCGCAACCGTCTCTCCTTTACCAATCCAACTACTCACATTCTTTAGCCCTGGTGGTTATTCATTCGTTGTTACAACACATCCAAATCTTCCAACTCTACCGTGTTTTCTTAAACCAACCACTACTTTCAAAATGAAGTTCTCCGCTGTCCTCGCTGCCATCTCGGCCTCTGCCGTCATCGCCACCCCCGCTGCTAAGTCCGGCCCCAACGGCGCCGGTGCCATCGAGAAGCGCGCCTCCTTCCCCATCCCCGCCTCCAAGGGCACCGTCACCTACAAGGCCGCTCAGTCCGTCAAGGGCACCTTCGATGGTGGCCTGAAGACCTACGGCCGTGGCGTCAAGTGCACTGGCCAGGCTGAGGGTGGCGACAAGGACGCCGTCTTCATCCTCGAGAACGGCGCTACCCTCAAGAACGCCATCATCGGTGCCGACCAGATCGAGGGTGTCCACTGCAAGGGCTCCTGCACCATCAACAACGTCTGGTGGACTGCTGTCTGCGAGGATGCTCTCTCCCTGAAGGGCAACGGCAACGCCAACGTCATCGGAGGGTAAGTTCAACAAACAACTCCCTTTTTCATACCAGAACACTTGCTAACTCTACCTCCACAGTGGTGCCCGCGGTGCTGAGGACAAGGTTATCCAGCACAACGGTCTCGGTACCGTCACCATTGACGGCTTCACCGTCTCCGACTTCGGCAAGCTCTACCGCTCTTGCGGTAACTGCAAGACCATGGGCAAGCGCACCGTCGTTGTCAAGAACGTCAAGGCCTACAACGGCAAGATGCTCACTGGTATCAACTCCAACAAGGGTGACACCTCCACCATCACCGGCACCTGCGCCACCTCCGTCAAGGAGATCTGCACCGAGTTCCAGGGCACCACCCCCGGCAACGAGCCCAAGAAACTGAAGAGTGGGCCCTCTTCTGCTTGCAAATACTCTACTCTCAAGGCTTGCTAAGCGTCTCGCCTTTGGTAGACTTCCTCTTGGGTCTCCGCCGCAAAAGGGCCTCTCTTTGGCGGTGCTGGTGCAACTTCTGCACTCTATGTCTCTGGGAGACCGAGTGAACTTCATTTTTGGTTAAAGAACGGAGGAAGGAAGAAAACATTTCTTTCTGTGGTGTGTAAGCTGATGCGCATCACTGGGCCCCTTGGCCATTCAGTGTATATATGAACGTGAGGTCTGTGTATTTATAGAATAGAATCCTCATGACTTTACACTTTTATCTGTCCGCTATGCCAAGTGATTGAAACATTTGAAAAAACAAATCTTTAAATCGTCTTTTTCCCCGCAATACGTTCAAATAAGCATCATGATCCGATCCCCCTCCATGCATGCCATATCCCCCCCGGGTGCCTCCACCGGGTTGAAGTCGGCTACCCACAAACTCTAAAGCTAAGACTCCGGGCACGGCAATCACGGCACACACGGCATCACGGCAACAACGGCAGCCACGGCACACATAACCGAGCCAAGCTGGGTTACGCGTCGACTTCAAAGGCCAAGACTGCTCGTCACTCCTGGTCAGTCCCCAAGAATAAATTGAGCCTGGGAGCCGCTTTTTCTCAGACTTCGATTCTGGGCTTTTTCGACTGAAGTCTTGGCTGCCATGTCAACCACGGATACCATCGTCGATAGCCCCGAACCATCGAACGTTCCTCACGACGAACAATGCCGAATCCAAGTTCCAGCACTACGACTTCTTATAACCCACGCTACTGCTCTTCACTCGACGATATGACGAAGTAAACACGCCACCAACACACGACGCTTGACCATCCAACCGATGCATGCCCACGCCGATACCATAATGTTGACTCAAAATGTCCTGACCTTGCATGTCCGCCTTGCTGCCGACTGAACGGATTGCCCAGCGCTTCCCCTCAAAGTTATAAACCGACTGAGACTCTCCGAACATACACTCTTGCCGCTTTATTACCTAAGGACCTTCGTTCTTTATTGCTTGTGAACCACGGATCAAGAAATTCAAGCATGAACCTCGGCTTTCTAGGCATGTGACGGTTATAGAGATGAACTTCACCTGCCTTCGATCCCAGTGAACCCCGGACCTCATGCTCGAAACACCATGCTTACCTCAGCCTCGGTTCTATCACAGCGGATGGCTGGCCAATAAACTACTCGATTCGTACGACCAAGGTTTCATGTCTGGATTATGAGTCTGGAATTTCTTTCCTGGAGCTAACGTTCCCGATGCAATACCGGTTACTAACTACCAGGTAATATACTACTAACCCCACACATCTCCCGCCATCGTCTACTCTGTTGCTGCGACAATGACCACATACCTACCACGCAGCCGTTGTTCCATAAGCCCTTGGGGCTTGCACATAGCGGGGGTTCTCGTTGAATGATGACCTTCTTTTGATTTGGCATCCCTATAAGCGGATACAGCCGCATTAACTTTACATCGCGTCATAACAAATATGAACTGAGCAAGTAATCCATCTACTTCTAGAAGGCGGGGGCCCTGCCAGTATTTGAATCTTGCTGACCAAACCCTGTATCAAAAAACACACTACATGTAAAGAGATGGCCTAGTGTAGGGTGCACGTTGGTAAGGTCTTGGGAGCGAATGTTTCTGCTTCAATCATAGTTGATGGTAGCTTTTTTAACCAAGGTACCTTTCGGATAGTACCTAGAGTAGACAGAGCCTAACACGAGGCCTAGGCGTTCTTCTAGACCCTTCTTGAGTTTTCCTTTGGGCGCGTATGTCCGAAGTGAGCCCTAACATCATCCTGAAAGGGCGCGGCCCCAACCTGGAAGTGATCTTTGGCACAAAGCTCAAATGTCATGATTGCCACAGGGCCGCCGTTGCCTCCGAGACGTTTAGGACTGAGATCACCCACTCATACTCCCTTGTTCGTCGAGGATGTCCTTGCTATCCATGGACGTACATATTGCTATAGATTCGATATAATATCAACTGATTTGCATGAGCAACAAGCAGCGATAGAAATGTAGAGGACAGGGCAGGATGTCATCAACGACTGATTCATCAGTTCGTTGAGGGGTTTACATTGCCTAGGGTCGGGATACAAGAAGTACAAAACTAACAATTCTACCTCAGCCATAGTTGGAGATCATGGATGTGAATCGATGAAATAGAACAGTTTGGATGCTATCAAGTCAGGTTAAGGCAGGCTCATCTGCATCTTCCCCAGCCTTTCAGATGCGACTAGTCGTCACCGTCTCAGGCTGGTCTACATTCTGAAGACAATAAAAGGAGAAGCAGATGATGGGTATGGCTATGCATTGCAAACCGTGAGCGAGGTAGTTAGCCGGGGAGCCAAGGGAGGTATGGCTTAGCCCGCTGGTATCTGCATGCCATTGCTTCAGAGCTGAATGGAATCTAGCTGCCCAGCGCCAGGCGCTGTTGATATGGGTTATGTTATTCCAAGTGCCATATATAAGAATCAGACTCTTATACAGCTGCGGTCTCTTGACAACATCTGGGTCCAGTTGAGCCTGTAAGCTGTCAAACATACAGCTATTGAACACTATTCCTGCATGTCGCCGAGTGACCGAGGAAATAGCAGTTTGACGTTTGAGATCATAACCAAGAGCGGCTCCATGTTTTCGATACATCCACCACATTCTCTTTTCAAGATTTGATACAAGTCAAGCACTATGCAATGGGGTTTAACTTTTGAAGTCCATACTGTGCCCTTTAGGACAACCCAGGCCATAGCTTACAATCACCAAGTGTGAACGCGATGAAAAAGAATCGGCACTTTCATTTCTGGAACATTTCAGCTTCCTTCATCGTAAGTTTAAAGACACTTCTACAGTCATCATCGGTTAACTTTACCCACGTAGCACATATCAAAGCCCTTCAATCCCCCAAAATCCTGTGAATCTGAAGCAAAGCAGAATCCCAATGTGTCTTTGATTTACAGTCTCAATTGGGACTTTGTTGTGTATGACTTAGCATTCTAGTAAGTCTTCTGCTTTAACTCATGGTGGTGTTTATCATCATGAACGTCGACTTGTCCACCAAAGCTTGTCCTCGAAATTGCAGGGCAGACTCCATCCACTTTCGACTGGCCTGGTTCAAATGGCAGACAGCGTTGTCTCGAGAGGCGAGGGCCTCTCGTAAGTAGACAGTGAGATTTCCATCAAAGCAGTGCCCAATTGCCAGTTTTGACGTGTCCCTGACCAAGAGGAACAGGCATGCAAGAATCTGCATCGGATCTCCTTCGGTGAAGAAACTGGCAAAATCCTCAACCATGTCGAATGTGAGCCTCCATATGATGACGTGAGGGAGCCACATCGGGCCCGCTAGTCTGAAAAGAAGAGGCATTGGCTCTCGCGGCGCGGTTCCCTCAGGTACGGCCCAGTAATCGAAGAGGTCACAACAGCCGCGCACCAGGTCGGTATTCAGTTCCAGAGCTTCTGAGTAAATCCACAACAGGCATCGGAATCGTATGACAGACACATGGAATTGCGCTCCGGCGTCCCGCACATGCCAAATATACTCTTGCAGGGACGGAAGTGATGATCCTGAGATCGTCCACAAAGTTTGACGATCAGTATGTGCATCTATAATTGACTGCAAGAATGTTGTCATTCCGGAGTTTCTCCGACCATTCGCAAACCTGGATTTAATTATGGATGCCAAAACTGCCGGTAAGAAGTCTTCGCCCTTCAATATTTCAGCACGGCGCTTTAGACCCTGGACGATGGTGCGAAGTCTCTTGGTGCTTGAATCGGCGAGGCCACCCCGTTTGGCAAAATCTGGCCACTGCTCGTTGCAAAGAGTAATCCGTCGAAAATCCTGGATTTCTGATCTATCATGATGACCAGCCATTTGTGGGTGAGGACCAACCTCTCTTCTATTTTGCCGAATCAACGCTTTCATTTTTTGTTCAAAGAGCGCCTCCTGATTCTTCATCTTATTAGGTTTATTTGCACCCAGACCAGACATAGCCTTTTCGAAGAACATTCGAACGTTTGTTCCCCGAACATCCTTCAGGGCTATTGAAGTGACTGGATCTGGTTCGTCGTCGAAGGAGTCCAGAAAACGTGCGGACAGCCCACACATTAAACTGTATAATGGTTGGATTATACTTCCAAAGCAACACTGGAAAGGTTGAACATACCAGAACATTTCCACGCTGATTGGACTTGACCAAGGATTTTTGCACTTAGGACAGAGATCGTTGTACACAGTACGGTTCGGGAAAAGCATGCTCATTTCAATTTCATCCCCTTCTTTTATCGCGTCTTCCCAGGGAGGTACACTGGGACTGTTGGGAAAGAATGTCATCTCGGTGGTTTTGTTCCGCAAGAGGTAACTTCTGCGTTCTACAGCCAGGCATGATTGGTTGCCGGCACAGAATACATTCCGAATGAAAGTTGCCAAGTCCTGTGTCAAGTTAACTATGGTTTCAATGAGATATTCAAGAACTACAGAATCGTAGGTTGAAATAGCTGAGAAGTGGATTTAGAGATGCCACCTACAGTCCAGCTTTTGACGCCTGCCATTGAAACTCCGTGAAGCTTGGATCGAGCATCCATGAGAACGAATTTGGGCCCAACAGCTGGGGCACTTGACAGTCCAGCCGGGGGGCAGGGATTTACAATGCGAATCGTTTGTCTGATAGGATGTTAGACAAGCCGGTTAGTCTTTTTCTACCTGGAGATATACCACTCACGCAGTTTCCAAGTCTATGATGAATTTAATCATGCTGAACTTGGAGTTGAGCTTATGACAAATTCCGTTGAGAATCGCATCGTGAAAAGGCCACCGTATCTTCTGCCAGATTCTCCGAAACCCTCTCCGTTGGCGATTGCTGCCTAAGGAGGGCTCGAGTTTTTGGATCCGTGAGATGAACAGTTTCAAAAGCTTCTTGAGTGACTTCAATTCGAAGCGAAGAACCGGTTTGATTGTGTGCCCTTCGGCTTTCAGATACCTGCGCAAGTAGGCGGTTGCGTTGGCAAAGGACCTGTAGGCCTCTGCGTGCCCCGCAAAGCCGTCCACGGCCTCGCCCCGGAGGAGGCTGGCACACCTCACGAGACTCTCCAGGATTAGGGCACAATCACCGATTCCGATTCCGATAGCCATTTCTTTGGACTTGATTTCGCCTGCTGGGCTCCAGTGGCAGCTGGCGTGCGTTGTAGCCGTGTGATGGGTCAAAAGACTCGAGTATGGAGATAGGATTTGACTCCTGGGCGATCAATTTTGAGGGAAAATCCGTCACCTTTTATGTCTCATTTTTCCCAATTATAATTTTGTAAGCTTTGTGAGCTCTGCTGCAACGCCAACTCATATCCTGACCGATGCCCCGACTGATCTGCAAGCTCTCGCTTCAGGACGGGCAGCAATTAATGAGTATCGTTCTATCTAATTCTGGCCGATGGTGACACTGCATATGGTAGTTCTGCGTGTTGCGTTGGAAATCAGGCTTTCATGCAGTTGCGGTCATGTGCCAAATCCGGAGTCCAATGAGGCAAGTACAACTTACATTGGATACTGCACCGGCTGGGTTCTGGCCCCGAGGCAGATTTTTGAATCTTGCCATCAAGAAGGCAGGCAATTGAAAGTTACATGGAGCTAATGCAGAAAGTTGGTATTGGTCGCTGATTCGCGAGATTGTTTCTGCACATTTAATTCTGGACTTTGTCAAGCCCGCAGCAAGCCTGGGGAAGCGGGGCAGATATTCAGCCTTCACTCTGGTCTCGATATCTCGACTGTACAAGTCAGAAGGACTGAACCTCTAGCACCCTACGTATCTTAGCAGGCTTGTTCGATAGATTCACATTGGGTAGTTCTGGGAACGGAAGATGTTGATTATAGTGACTCTGTTCTTGTAACAAGCTATGAAAACGAAGTTATCTCGTTCACCTTCAGCTCACTATGTTGAAGCGGCGATGGACTTGGGAACGCGTGAAGACGACTTTCCCATCAATAATCATGAACTACGGCAATTGCATGGAGCGATGGACATGACGCAAAAGTGCACTTGCGGAACGGCAGATCAATGCGGTGGAATTGGCAGGCTCACAATCATGGGCGTCTGTCGGGGCATTGGAACGGCGGCTGCACTGGGATGATTGCCGTATCAGTAACACGTCTGACATACGCCAACTCCTAGATATTCAGCTAGCAAGACAAGCATTGTATCCCATAGATCTCCACATCTACACCCAGATGCGCCACGCGGTGTGTTTATCGCAGTGGGTCCACGGTACCTAGCCTGCTTGAATTATTCCGTCAATTCATAGAGATCCGCTCAAGGCGCCTTTTTTGCAAGAGCCCATGGATAAGCTCAAAGTAATCCGGGATCAATATAGATCTAATCAAGAGGAATGCGTTTTCGGAAAACGACATCTTGGAAATCCAGAAGAATGGAAGGTAATACTCGATATATGGGAACCTGATGCGTCTTTGGGAGACGCTACGACGATTATGATAGCACCAAATCAGGTTGTTTTCAAACCGGTCGAGCAACATTAATTTTGCCCGGGAAATAGAGTATTAGACTGATACTGCTCGCCCCCTGACCTAGTAGATCTAAGGTTTTTTGTTGGCGAAATTGAACCCGCTTGTTGTAGTGGTCGAAATTTCGGGTTAAAGTGGCTCTGTGGCCACCCAAGTTGTCGGCCCCTGGTCACCAGGCCTCATGGGTAGACGACCTGAACTACTCAAGTGAGGGGGAACTGCAAGAGGTATATCTGTTCCGTTCACTTCAATCCTTGGGCGATGAAGAATGATACTGTTTAGTTGACTACTTTAGAGGCCACATGCACGATGCTCAATGCCGTTGTTATATTCTTTATTTCTCTTCTGGTCCGCTTGCAATGTTTTCTCCCCGCGACAGGACAAGAAATTGGATAAAAAACATCCCCTGGTAGATTGAGTGCGCGGTCTTCCAAGGAGTCAAGGTGATTTGCAAATCATGGGATGGACAGCAAAAGGTTCACAAGCACAACTGAATCGTGAGAGCAGTGTTCGCATGGAATTGGGAATTTTGATTTTGCCAGAGAAATAATTTACGAGAGTAACCCTCCGATAATTACATATCTTGGGGGCTCTGGCACCCTATCTTCAATGGAAGTCGCCCACACTCACCACACACTGATTCGGGGATGGATGATTTGTCCTCAAGTAGAGACTGGTGTGGGAAACATACTGTCAGCGGTTCGTTCTGTCAACATCCTTCCTGATTTCCTTACTGCAATGTTCAATTTGTAGACGTGCTGGTTGATTTGTCAACCAGTCTTGATGATGGCAAGATCCGTCGAGCAGCTGCCATTATAACTCCATACCAAAAACTCGAAACTTCGATGATAAGTCTGAGACGTCCAATGTTGAAGTTTTCCAAGCTCCAGAACAGCTTCAGAGCCAGTATCTGGCCCATATATCGTGTTCTTCCTTGGTGCCGCGGAAGGAAAACTCAACCTCGGTGATGTCTTGGAACCCTTCCTTTATCTTGGGCTCTTTGAACCGTGATTTGAAGCCGTTGAAAGCCATCCTGGGTAGCGCTACCCTAGACTCGGGGTTAAGCTGCATAGAAGTAAGCACATGCTTCTGAAGTGCGGCGTGATATACATACAGAAGCGTTCATGGATCGTACGGCGTCGTTGTGCTCGCAAATGGTTATCGGTGTCTTGAGCCAGATACATCTAATGGGAACATTCTGCTTTTCAGCCAGCTGAACCCAAACAGATCTCGTATCGGGATCTGCGTTCGTGTTATCTGCGACCTGTCAATACGTTGCTATAAACTAGGCCATGGTGCTTCACTAACCTATGGCAACGGATTGGCCAGCGCTCAAGAACTCCTTGGCAGCCTGAACGCATTTCTCGCGGCTATGCAAGAGGTCAGCACATCTTTGAATAGAAGTAGCACTTGGAAACGCACGTCTTCAGGATGTCTTGATTTACCCGCTCATATCCCAGCGGCTTGAGGTGCTTCCAAAAGAAGGTACTTTTGCCGGCGCCAGGTGGCCCGCAGCAGATCACAATATCTTGCTTGTTCTTCTTCTCAAAGATAATGTCTGATGAAGGCTTAGCATCTTCAGGAAAGGGGTAGTGCACCACATCGAAGTCTCGGACAAAATCCCGTGGCTTTTCGCCAAGGAAGAACTCTTCGGGCGTCTTGTACTCGATGCCAATGTTGTGGGCAAGATTCCGATCGGAACAGCTGAAGTCCTTTGCAGTACCTGCTGTGTTATTACCAGCAGACTTGACTGTTGCTGTTCGGCCACCTGCGTCGCCGACGAAAACACTTTGCTTCAGATCCACCTCGTCAACGAGGTCATAATCTTCGCAAAGCTCTTTCCACATCCCTGGCCGCGGTTTCCTGTAAAAGTCTTTCTCTGTTGCAGCATATACAGTAATCGGAAGGTCGAGCTGTGTCAAGACAGCATTAACTTTCTGTTTGAATGCAGAAACCCGGTCTTTTGACGATGACTTGGGGCCTTTTGCCTTCGGGTCTGGATGGAGAACAAGTCCCGCCTGGTTCGACAAGACTACCACGCGATACCTGGTCTGGTCAGCTTGGGTCGCAAGCTCATTTGTTCACGAATCCTACCCCTCATCGTTGTATAGTTCCCTTAGTCTTCCTGGCACAGACGCATGCCACCACTTCCAGTCGTTGCCGCCGTCCGCATGCTTCTTCCCGGAAGCTGTTGTAATCAGGGTAGAATCCTGAGCCGCACCCGTCAACATTTTTCTGCTATTGCAAAAGCGAAAGTTGGTGTCTGCCATACCAGGTCGAATGCAGCGACTTTTGTTCTCTTCTTCGATTCGGTAGGTGGGTTCTCCGGTTCATATCGACCGACGAGAAGTGTTGCCGGTGTATCATCGTCTGGGGCGCGTTCGGTCCATATCGTACGGTCTTTGGGTTTCTGAGATGACGGTTTGAAGAAGTTTGCGACAGCGTTTTCTTGAGAGTTTCAGCGTTGAAATGCGCAAGTAGGTAGGATCATGACTTACGGGTAGTTCCGCTCTGCACCTTTCTCTTGACTGGCGGGGGAGAGATAGAGTCTCTCTGCTTCCGCTTCGGGGCAGAAGAGTTAGACGACGACATTCTTGGACTCGGGTTGCAGCCTTTGTATGGTTTCAGAGTGAAAGAAGTCCGATTAATAAGAAATGCGATCGACAATCGCATATCGAAGCGGCTCAGATACGGTTGTCTTGGTGGGGCAGTAATTAAAGAAGGCACCGACCGCGGCGAGAACGCGTCGGGGGAAGGCACGGTGACGGGTGAGCATGTGACGTGCCACGTGACCTTATTTTGCGATTGGATCTCCACGATAACGCCGACCTTCAATTCACCTCACCGACGAACAGCCAGGTCAATTCAGCGTCTAGAGCAACCCTTCTTATTCAACACTGTGCAACTCTGCATCTCAACATCGCCGCAATGTATGAGTTATTTCTCACGACGCTTGTGGACGACGACGATATTCAGGCAGCATGCTCAGTCTTGGGTGGCCTTTGCGCCATGCCTGCGTGGCAGAGCCTCCATCGCGTCCTCTACTTCAAAGGTCCTGCTAAGCCTGGCGGTATTTCGAACCAAAACTCAATCGCGAAGACTCCCCGCAAGGATATCCAGATCTTGTGGAAGGAGTTACATCAGCAGCTCAGCCGTCAGTCCTACATCATCCAAGCGCGGTATGAGGTCTCCAAGGACAAGGACTTCGGCCCGACCGCTCCGGAAGTGGACTTCAACACTCGCCCGGGTACTCTCCGTTGGACCGATTTCCCTGATCCTCCCCAGGTTCGGTCGTCAGTTACACAGCGCAAGAAGACAGAGATTTGGGATCAGCGAAACCTTCCCTCGGTCATGAAGGACAACAATTACCAGTGTGTATACTTCAACAGCGCACAGTAACATGCGTACTGACCCAATGCACAGATTCAAGAGTGAGGCGATTGAGGAGACGTATCAGTTTTTCAGAGACGAGGTTGAGTTTTGTCTCTCGAGACACTACATTCTTCAAATGAACGGGGATGGCGCTCCTCTAACGCAACTTGCACCATGGGAGACATTCGCGCCCGCCGATCCAGGACGGCGCTGGATGTTCCTTATCAAAGTCCATGTCCATCAGGACAACAAACCAGATGAGATTCTCAAGGCACATGAGCACTTGGCTAGCATTCGACGCGAGCTTGAAGGTGTCTTTGACTTCAAAACGTTCGACAGACGTATCCATGATACCAGAGTAGCAGTTGAGATGCGGAATGCACCGGCACCCCTACCTCAGGTCATGACTGTTACCGACCAGCGGTAGGCCGCATATTTGAGATGACCTCAAGTGATGAGGACATTCGTGTCATAACGAAATTTAAAGAAGGAAATGAGGCACTTAGTCTCATCCTACTTAATACTCCGCCGGGGACACTGTGACAACAGCAGATCCCCGTCGCCATGCTATCAATTTCGGGCTCTCCCGATTACTGCTGCAAGGCTTAGGCGGTGGTTACATACGCTAATCGAAGGCCATTCTGTCGTCAACTATTTGGGGGAGTATCCTACAAATGGCATGGACGTTGAAGAGCTACACTGGCCTAGATGAAGGCATGAAGCATCTGCGCTTGTAATTATGCGGGTATGGATACATCTATCCATATCGCTAATTACGGGCTGGAATCACTCTGGTGCTCTCCATCAATATTCAAGGGAAAGCCAGGAATTATTGCCGGCGATGAGCAGAAGAGGTCGAACAAAGAAAAAGTTGCATGAATCAATGAAGCGCCAGTGGATAGGAAAGAGTGGATGAGAAAGCATTTATCAACAACACCAGGAGATGATGTTGGACAATGGAGTCCACCCGGTTCCAGAAGTTTTCTCAGGCCAAGTGGGCCGACTTGTCTCGACAATAGTAGCTTACTCTGGGCTTAGAACTAGAAGCTAACTTGGGACATCAACAAGCTTATCTCTCCGCTTAAGTGTCATTTTTTTCGGGTTGACGTGCCGGTACTCCTCCTAATGATCTAACCGAACTGCTAGCATACCGATATATCGAATCGGCAGTGAAAAGTTTCAATCCCTTAATAGGAGATGTTGCAGGCTCCTCCAGTAGCATGGGTACAAACATGCAGGTATTGTGAGCCAGGGGCCACCTACCAACCTAGATCGGTTTGCTTCCATCTGACCACTCACCGGCGGCAGCTCAGGCAATCTCCGTCTGTGATCTCCGCTGCCTGTGAATCTGTTACAGGCCCGCAGGTCAGTGGCAGTAAATGTTGAAAATTTTCTTCTCCTTCGTTGTCGTCGTCGTCGTCTTCTTCTTCCTGCTCCTCCTAGTGACTGTGAATGACGTATAACGACGATCACTACTCGCCCGTGCATAGCAGTAATAATTGGGGTTATTTCCTTTTTCTACGACATCAACCGCCCTAGGTTTTGGTGGTTGAATGGGGCCTGTCAATTCACTACATCCTTATTCCATGTAGAGGCGCTAAAGCGAAAGGCCTAAGTTTCAAGCTGATTAAGTGGGCTGCACAGTCAGCAAAGCGCTAACGTTCTTTTCCGGTGTGGCAATAATCGGTTAAGAAAAAAAAAAAATAGTCGCCCAAGATCTAGGCTCGTTTCATTCGGAAATGATGCTTTCCACTCTCCACATATTATTATTTTTTCTTTGGAGAGGACCTACGGTGCTTTCCATCAGCTCCCACCGTTCGGAAACTGACAGAATCTAGCGAGGTGTTCGGATGGAATACAAAACAAGAACAGGTCAAGGCGCCGAAGTACCACGTAGTAGATTGGCGCCCCATTGAGAAGGGAAGCCATCACGGTGATGTGCATTAACAAGCATATTGAGTCAAGAGCGGCTGTGAAGCGAACCGGAATGGCCCTTTGGGCTCCTTTACTCGTAACGCACGTGTACCTGAGCGGCTCGGGCTGGGCGAATCCTGTCAGGGGACCCCCTCTACGAGCCACTCTCAGTGACACAATCCATCGGCCACCAGGACTTTGTCACCCATGTCAAAGACGACGATCATTAGGTTGCTCTGGGCCAATCGGAACAGTTCAAGCCCAAGATTGCTAACCAGAAAGTGTTCTTCTGTGGGACACAGAGAGCACGTAACGCCCAGCGGGAAGATCTGGAGATTCTTAAGGTTTGCGCTTCTCTGCGGCAGCCAAGCAAAACATATTAACCTGTCAACGTCAAGCCAGATTGACCCGAAAATTACCTCGCAATCTTTGACAGCAACTCAAAGTCTCATCTGACCTGTTGGATGATCTTGAACATCACCCGTTGTTGATCATGTTCATGTACAGTGGCGCCAGGGGTACATGCTGTTTGTGTTTCAGGTTCGGACGAGCAGCCCGTGATGTAGAGGGGCAACGAACCGGGGTTGGTGCTGGTGGTTGGCTCGGTTGACTGCCACAACGAGGTAGGCCCATCAAGGGGTTAAATTAAGCTTGGGACTTTGAGGTCAAGTTTGGACGGATTACTCCCAAAAGAAGCCTGCGAAAAATGAAAAAGCCGCAGGGACTGGACCAAACCGACCTGGGCCCGTTTACCGCGCAGTCAACCTGCAAGGCACACATCCCGCAATTTAGACACGACAACGGTATCCCCACAACCTCAACCCCTTTAGAGACAATTCCTCCAATGGCGCTTCCTATCGCAGGCCAGAATGCGGCCAGGTCCGTTTGGAAACTCCCTCCAACCTGTTCCCTCTGCCCACCAGAGATTAACGACCCATGCTGGAATCCCTGAAGTGCGATGGGTATATTCGAACCGATGAGGCGGCGTCGTGGGTACTGGGACGGGATTGCGCCTACCCCTTTCCATAATATAGGCTTGGCGATTCTGGACTGGCATTGCCTTTCCGAAGGTGGGGAGGTAAAAAGGTTGGCTTTGGGAGGAATCTGGTGTAAGAGACAGACATATATGTAGAGATAAAGTTCTGCCCAACCGACTACCTTTCTTGCTCTCTCTTCTCCAACAGAACAGTCACTCATCTGTCCACTCATTACTTTTCAGTCATTCTCTACAACTCGACGCCGGCGTCACTTCACTCATTTTTCACCTTTTGTGTGTACATCGCTTCTTACGCCCGGAATCAACTGTCCTTCTTTACAAAACAACCTTTCAAATCCATCAAGATGAAGACCGTCGCTGCTCTTGCTCTTACCGCCTCCATGGCCAACATGGTCGCTGGCCATGCCATCTTCCAGCAACTCTGGGTCAACGGTGAGGACCAGTCCTCCACCTGTGTCCGCATGCCCGCCTCCAACTCCCCCGTCACCGACGTGACCTCCAACGACATGCGCTGCAACGCCGGTGCCGCCAAGGCCGCCAGCACCTGCGGTGTCAAGGCCGGTGACACCATCACCGTCGAGATGCACCAGCACAACGACCGTGACTGCACCAAGGAGGCCATCGGCGGTGCCCACCACGGCCCCGTCATGATCTACCTCAGCTCTGTCGCCGACGCCGCCACCGCCGACGGTTCCAGCTCCTTCTTCAAGGTCTTCGAGTCCGGCTACTTCGAGGGCAACAAGACCTGGGGTAACGACCTCATCAACGAGGGCTGCGGCAAGCAGAACTTCGTCATCCCCTCCGACGTCGCCCCCGGTGACTACCTCCTCCGTGCTGAGACCGTCGCTCTCCACGCCGCCGGCTCTGAGGGTGGTGCTCAGTACTACATGTCTTGCTACCAGCTCAAGATTGAGGGCTCTGGCTCCGCCAAGCCCGAGGGTGTCACTTTCCCTGGTGCCTACAAGGCCACTGACCCTGGTCTGTTGATCAACATCTACAACACCATCGCCAACTAGTAAGTTTACCTGAACCTGTCTGCTCATATCTGTTTTGAGCTTTAAAACTGACTTGATCTCCAGCGTCATCCCCGGCCCTGCCGTCTACGGCTCCGGCTCTTCCGGCTCTGCCCCCGCCGCCCCTGCTTCCTCTGCTCCCGCTGCCGCTCCCGCTTCTTCCGCCCCGGCTGCTGCCCCCTCTGCTCCCGCTGCCACCCCCAGCGCTGCTGCTCCCAGCGCCGCTGCCCCTACCACCCTCGTCACCTCCGCTGCTGCCGCTCCCTCTACCCCCGCCGCTTCCACCTCTGCTGCTGCCGCCACTCCCACCTCCGGCTCCAGCACCGGCTGCAAGCGCCGCCGCGCCCGCAAGGCCCGCCGCTCTGCCCACTACTAAGTGGTTAGCCAGTCCCGGCTCGGTATTTGAAAGGAGATATTCAGGACGTGTATCATTCAGTTACATATTAGAAGTTCACTGTACATAGTATTCCGCGCGTAATTCTGCGACTTACGCCAACTTCGAGTGGCACAAGAATTTACCTTGTTCAAACATTTAGTCTCTTCAGTGATTTGTGAATATCTGATATGTTATGTGTGAACTTGTGTATTTAAACCTTTGTATCCTATGGACTATAAGAGGCGCGTATGTTTGACATTATATATACGGGAAACGCATCGGGTAGACGCCATCTTGCTAATAATTCAACTAATGTTTGAAGAAGAATGGAATGTTTTGAAACAACTCAGTGATAATCAAGTACAAACAACGCAGTAGGAATGTGGTCAATGCCAGTGTTTCATAGTCAATAGATTTTCATATCTAACAGAGCATGAAGGTTCTTAATGTACATTTTACTTCGGCCATATTTGATGATGACTTTGACAACAGCTAGTTAAAGCGTGACAGCTGAATGAAACGTCCAGCAGTCAAAATTTAAAGAAGAAGAACTGTCAAGCAGTCAGTAGCATGTTTCCTTAGTTGACACACCCCTTCAAACTCCAGACGGAGTGTCCTCCTCAAGCAGAACTCATTGTCATCACGTCGAACAGTCGAGGAAACAAAATTTCATCTGGGTGCTTCATATTGACAATGCGTTTACATAATATACAAGCGCTCTAAATTCCAATGCATGCATCGATCATTGTTTCCTCTACATCCACAATCATTTCCGTATCCAACTACACCAGAACCCCTCCTGTTGAAGAAAATTGAAAGCTCAGAGGCAAACGCCACTTAAGTTTTGAAACAAAGAGTCTCAAGTGCTGTAGACAGCAACGTACTTGACCTCCATCCTGGACGTCTCACCGCCGACAGTCTGGGCGTTGGGCGTCTTAGTACCGGCCTTGGCGTCAGGGAATTCACCGCCGATGGCAACGTTGAGGAGCATCATCTTGGGCGTGCGGGCGAGATTGTTCCAAAAGGCCGCATCGCCAATCTCCTGGCCCGTGATGGTCTTGGTCGGCTTGTCGTTGACATACCATATCAGCTTCTCGGTCTTGAAATCGCCGCCACCAGAGCGGTCGACCTCGCACGCAACCTTGACGAACTCGCCGCGGGGGAACTCGGCACTGGAGCTGAGACCGGTCTTCTCGTTACACGGGCCGCCGTCGATTACGCCGCAGTGTGCCGTTTGGAACACGGTGCCAACGCCGTTGGACACCTCGAGCATGTCGATCTCGCCCACGCCCGGCCACGAAGTCACATTCGTCCGGAAGGATGAACCCATGGACCAGAAGGCGGGCCAGATTCCGGATTGCGTGGAAGGGTCTGAAGCCGGGATCATGATGCTCGCCTCCATCCGCATCTTGCCCTTCTCGGGGCATTGGAAGTCCTGCGCCGCGTTGGTTTCGATACGGGACGAAGTCCAAGACTCGCCGTTCTTGATCGGGGTGATCGTCAACGTTCCGCTCGAGGATATGGCAATGTTCTTGGTGTCCTTGGTGTAGGTCTGAATCTCTTGCGTGCCCCAGTTCGCGGCGCCTCCTGGGTAGCTCGTGCCGACGTCAAAGGTCCACTTTGAAGAGTCGGGAAGGGCGCCAGCCTTCTGCGTAGAAAAGTCATCCTGAAAGACAATCTTTTTGAAGCCCGAGGGAAGCGTCGGCGCGCCGCCACCTGTGCTGTTTCCGCCGCTGCCGCCGCTGCCTGGTTTGTTGCTCGCTATGGGTTTAAGAGGCTTCGTACGATCGGCAGGGTTACGGTCGGCAGGGTTACGCGCCGGAGATGCCCAGCCGGCGCTGAAAAGGAGGGGAAGAAGCAACAAAACCTGTTTTGTTGACATGGTGGCCAGCTTCGTCAAGAAGAAAGAGAAAGAAAGCAAAGGGGAAAGAGAGGAAGTCGAGGAGTAGGTATATGCGCTTGCGCTTGGTGTACTTGTGCTCGAATACTGATCTAGAATCCATTCATTCAATGGAGATCATCTCAATGTCTTTATATTCTGTGTCGACCTCATATCAAAGAACTGTTATGCCCCTCGCTTAGAAGACTCGTTCAAGTTTAATTACAATTCTATTCTAAATCTAGATGATTGAACCCTACGAGTGGATTTGACATGGAGGCCGCTATATTCAGCATTCGATTGCACTATAGCTCTGTAGGTTATCCTGCGTTATTTGGAGTCTTAAGACCAAGTCACTGATCAAGTGAACGGCCTTCTACACTAACATTCCATAACCTCCTATCAGACCGGTGACTGAGTGGGTCTGGTGGAGTTTGACGTGAACTACTCCGAGTTTCTGTCATGCCGGCCGGGCTCATCAATAGACCACGGCTCCCGAAAGGACAGTTGCTATTTCTGCCTTCCTGGCCCGCGTTGCTGCGTGTCGGTTGGAGTTGTTTATTGTCAATGACTCGGCACTATCGTTACTCTCCCGCTGTCGTTCATGCGTAAGCGACAGATCCTGGATTGGCTTACCACATGGAACTTATCAGACGGTAATAAGACTATGGGTCCCCCACAGCCACTCTATCAATGCCAAACCAGCAGCATTTATTTCTAACCTTCTACTGGACTGTTTCACCGCCCAAAGTCGCGTTTGTGGTCCATTTCCTGCTTTGTACGCGACAGGCACCGCTCGCGCCAAGCTGATACGTCCCAGGATAGAACTTCCAAATAGCTGACTCACATACCACAATTAACATGTCGCATGCGGTGACCTGGTGAACACAGGTTTGTTTCGGTCGTTTTTCCCGTTTCTTCAGGTCCTCCGTTGACTCCCACAGGGATGAAAGGTTCGCTTGCGGATTTTCGCATGGATTCGACTCGGTTTTTACCGTTGGTCGACACTATACTCAAGACAGGGACGTGTTCTGATACCGTCCTTTTCTAGTAAACCGAACTTTAGCTTGTTCTTGTGGCTATTTTGACCATTTGCCGTGGCTTGCTGCCCCTTTTGTACCTTCTGGAGTTCATCTACCGGCGCTTGGCAACATCATCAGTAGACCTGTGTGCTATGTCTATTTTGGTGGCTGCAAGAGGGATGTTTGGTTTTTTTTATCAATTGTAAGTTGTGGTCGAGACGAAAATATCTTAATCACCAAATTGGCGGCAATATCTGCACGCTGCTCTGTTATCGGTTTTTGGCTACATCAGCTATGGCACTTTATCGGACGGTTGATGAAACCGCGCATTCAGCTATTTTCGTCGTGGAATAATAGGACATTATAAACTTTTGAACTGTTACATTTAGTCTGCTGAAAGCTGACGAATCGGTTTCTGGATACTGTCATGCGGTATCGGCAGTCGAGCTTTTGTAAATGAGAAGCTGAATCTTGGTTTTACATATCTTGATGGTTTGCATATGAGATCCAGCCGACCACGGTTGTTGGCGTCTACGAGGGCTGACCTTGCATTCGGGAATATGCGAACACGAGTAGAGCGAACAGATCGACATGAGAAATTGTCGAAGGGATAAGCTAAATCTGCATCGTTCGGTTTCAGCTATTCGGCCATCGTATCATAGTAATGCCTTCTTCTTCAGGTGACTTTTGCGTTGTGGATATATGTCGTTGCACGTGTACATCTGCTCTGCTCACACTCGACCCATCGAGCTGCACGGCGGTGGAACATCTTCTTGACTACTTTTCAGTGGAACTCAAGCCAATTTGAATCTGGGTTTAATATTGAGGTCACGCATGATGGAAGCTGTTTACCTCTGCATCCTCCAAGCAAGCACTTGACTCCGTGTTGTGGCTTATTTGATGGCTGTTCCGTAAATACTCCAAACCATGTGGCTTCAGATGATCCGATCTTGTTTTTGATCTACTTACCACGCATAACGCGTTATACAACCCAGTCACTGAGATATGCAGACACCTTCATGTCCCAGCCTGCACGCTAATCTATAAACAAGACACAACAGATGAAAGTGTAGCTTGCTCCTTCATTGAAGGAAGCTGCTGTGTCGCAAAACCTATGCGACAATACAAGATAAACTAAGCCGAGCTGTCGTCTAGCCAATATTGCATGTGCGACCACTTGAACCACCGCAACAGAAGACAAGGTTTTCCAGAAAGCAGTTATTATTCAATATCTGTCAGTCGATTTTAGGGAATATTCGATATACTCGAAAAGTGTAACCTAATAGTCGAGTCCAACCGGGTGCTTGAAACTCAGCACCAGCCACGAAACGATGAAGACGAGTACAACTCCTCATTAAGAAGTGGCCCGTTATTGAATGATTGATACATACACAGATCATGGAGAGAAAAAGACCGTATGCCGTGGTTTGTTATGACTCCAAGTTGGTTAAATGCATTGTATTTAGGGTTCAATAACATGCAAGAATGGCGTGTGGTGTAGTTCCCCGCCTCCCAAGGTATTTCCTGAACCTCGAACTATAAGATTCGATCTAAGAGTCTCTATATTCATTCTATATTCTCCCAACAAACCATACTGCAGCGTAATAACATCGTCAATTCCTCGAGGTATCATTTAACCTATCACACAAGGTAGCATCAGATCATCACTCAAGGTATGTCAGGCCACAACTCATTACAACTGCCAATTGGCTAACACAGACAGTTCAGCATACCAACTGGATTACCAGCCAACAAACCTTGAAGAACCAAAATGGTGTTTGCCGAACTTGTTTCAGTACTGGTTTGGTGCATAGGAACCAAGTTGGTAGAGCTAGGTATCAACAAGATTAGGGAAAAGATTAAGGAAAAGAAGAAACAGAAACCGAAACGCGAGGCTGAAAGCAAGAGTCAGCAAGAATGTGAAAGATGTAAGAAAATCGTCTCTAAAGAAATGAAAGCTGCGAAGGAAAAGATGGAACAGGGGAAAGAAGCGTTCAAAGACTGGGTTGGCAAGTTCCTGGAAAGGTTCAAATCGCAGTCCAAACTCCCAAAAATGGACTCTGGCGTGACAGAACAAGTGTGGGAATTGGAAGATGCATGGGTCGATGCCCAGGGTAACTTCACCCTCTGGAAACATGACTGGATTCACGTCACGCCCACGATCAACTTGGAAGAAGAAGAAAAGACTAATGCAACAAACAATGAGGGCGTCCCACAAATCATCGGACGGCAGAAGGGTCCCATAAATACGCCTTTGGAGAGGCGCTACCAGTGTGATCAGGAGAACCGCGCTCCACTGGTGGTGTGTGAGTCTCTGATAGATTATGTGGCACCGCGCAAGTCAGGGCAACTGGCCGAGCTCACACCCCGTCGATACTGCCTGGAGAATAACAACGGCAAATGCTGCATTGGTTGGGAACTTGCAAGTGCACAGCGTGAATTATCCGACTATTTCCAACCAATGGGTGCTCTCAGAGTGGTGATGGAGAGGTGCCGATACAGGACAGAGCTGGTCGCCGGCTGGGGATCCGTTCACGTGCCTAACACCGGCATTTTCGCTCACGAATATCTTCACAGGGGTTAGATCACATTTAAGAAGGCTTGGCTGTATGTTAGTTTCTTTATCTCGGAACTCAAAGGCTTGTTTGTGGAAGGGAAGAGGTGGGGAAAGTAAGGATCATGTAGGGTATCAGGCAGGGACTTTCTGGGGAATCAATGCCTTGGTATGGTCACCTCGAGTTATTCGGTTTGTTCAGTGGTTATGCTGACTCTAAAAGTAAGCAATAATCAAGTCGAAAAGCCTCAAGAATCTGAAAGGGCTGCAAGTCACTGCCTAGCAAGTGCTGAAAATGGCTATTAGTCACGCTATGAAAGACTTCGAATTAGCTGTTACGTGTGTATTTACTTAATTGGTATCGCAGACGGAGGTCAACTTCATCCTACCTAAAGAAAGCGTTTTACTCCTTCCATTAACCCACCTTCATCGTACAAGCCGAATTACATCTCCTTCAGCCTCACATCCAACCACTCTCCGAAGCCCGCAAACATCCCTACACCCTTCCAACCCTGACAGAAACCCCACATGATTTCAACCCTTTCCTTCAAGACCTCCTTATCCCTTGCCTCTTCCCACTTCCCAAACTTGCCCCCCTCAACGACCCCCATCTCCCCAAGCCCATACATGAGCTTCGCCTCGCAAACAGGGCAGAAGTAAGGAGGCTGCCTCGCATCCTCTCCCAGTCCTCCGGTGCCCTGCATAACGCAAGCATAATACACACAATGATCCAGTCCAAAACAATGTCCAAGTTCATGCGCCGCCGTCCTCGCAACCCTCGAGAACCACATGCCACGCTGATCCTTCTTCGTCTTGGGCACGAGGACCTTCTTCGACTCGGAGATGGCCGCTCCCATAGGCGTGCCCGGGGTCTTTTTCAAATCAAGCAGCGAGTTTCCCTCAGAAGCAGCCTTACTTCCACCCGCGCGTTTCCTCTTCTTCCCCTTCCCGTCTTCCTCCTCTGCGTTCCTCTTGCAAAAGTCGTCTATGAAAGCAGCACAATGGGAAGTAGGCCACATGTGCTCAATCTCGACGTCAAACGCAGCGTCCAGGTCAGGTCTGTACCGGAAACTTGACACCAGCGAGATCCTACTACCACCGTACGCCCTCCCGCAGCAGAAATCATCATCCTCGTCCTCGTAGAGGTCGTGCGCGAGGACCATCACGGAAGCATAGGCGCCCTTGGGGAGGATACTCCTGAGGGCATCAAGGAGATCGTTGAGGTTAAGCTGCATCCTCGCAATCTCATCCGGCGAAGGCCTCGCTCGTATGCCCACAGCGATATCAGACCCCATCATGAGACCGACCATGGATGGTTTCTCCTCGCCTTTCTTGCCGTCGTTCCACCTTACGAACTTGAGCGGCGTGGGCAGCTTCTTCACCGGGAGCGGATGATAAAAAGCGCCGAGGTACGCCATCAAATCTCCCACATCGGGATGTTCCAACCTGGGGAACTCCTTGCGGTCCACGAACTCGTCAATGTCCGGCTCAGCCCACTCCCTCATGAACCCCGCGGACTCGTCTATGCCGGGCAAGTCCACGACGTACAACGTCTTTCTCTCGGGCGTGATTGGATTCCGGTAGCCCCCGTTCACCCAGGACCGCAGGCTCTGCGGCGGGTATTTCGGGTTCATAGCAAGTTCGTCGCCGGGGAGGACGAGCGGGCCGGGAAAGGTGGATACATCCGGAGCGGAGCCCCCGGCCTCGGTAGCCCTCCCTGAGCGCGTCGTCGCGGCTGCTCTCTTGTCGGCGGGTATCCATTCGAAGCCAACTACGTTGCGGCCGTGATCCGACACGTCGACGCAGAGCTTTTGGTGTGCGCAGACTTTTTTCCTGGGAGCCATGGCGAGAAAACAACAAGGCAGGTCGACGTCGATTTCACAGCTGGCATGGAAGACGGATTTGTGCCACTTCCTTTTTTTTTTTGTGATTGATATTTTAGACTGTCGTATCTCGAAACAAGTCACAAACGAACGACTCCCCCTTCACTCATCTCCTCGTTGATGAATTTGCCCTCTTGTTTGAATCAGGACTAGCACACAGAAAAAAACCCCGCTTTGCGCGCTGCTGCCTACGATGGACGCTGGATGCTGTGTTTGAGCCGCTACTACTATTTCAGCCTTACACGGGAACCAATAAATCCCGTCAGCACCAACGACCTCCTTCACCATCATCATGGAGACTAAGGGAATCCCAACACAGCCTTGTCACTAGGCTGACTCGAACGACGTGCGGTCCATGCCCAGGAGCGCACCCGTCTCTAGACCGCGCTCGACAGCCCGCTACAGGCGATAATCCTCCGACTTCTGCCGTCGTACGTCAGTCGACAACAAAAGCATTGACGGGAGGGGGCCGCTCGGGAAGCCTCTTGCATCACTCCACCCCGAGCATCAAATCCCGCGCCATGTCGTTCGGTCACCAAGCCGAGATTCACCTCGGCCCATGTGCGGAATACGCACCGCAGAGGAGAGAGAGAAAGAGGGAGAGACCCTTATCATCCTTCCGTCATGCAGCCCGGCTGAACCTGACGCCGTCAAAACGTGCACTCCCGCTCGGCCAGGTCTGGCCCAGCGAGAGAAAGACAGAGAGGGACACACAGAGAGAGAGAGAGTTAGGAAACAACCTGCACTTCGCCACCGCCTCACCTGCATTCTGCGTGAGACTTCCCGCTCGCGCTTGCGCATAAGCAAAGTCCGTTAAGGCCTCCTTCGGAATGTTTCTATGCGCCGCGGCACCTGCGTCCCGCATCCGCGCGGCCCAGCGGCGGCCCAACGGGATGGGGACGTGACATGACCGGTTGGCATCGTGCGATGATCATCTCAGAGAAACGTATACTTCACGCCTTCCACCGACGAAGCCTCAACAACGGCGTCAGGGAAAAAAAAACATACCAACCCAAGTCTTACTCCTCGCGTCAACGCTTTTTTTCCCACCCGCTGTTCCCCGGGTGTCTCCGACGTGCGCCCCGGCCCTCCCGCAACCATAATCCGATGACCGACGAATGGGGTGACGCCACACAAGCAGACACGGCTCAACGGCCGACGTGGTCTAAGCAGAGTATGAAAGTAGGTTATTTCATCATGCCTCGTCACATTTCACAAGCGCGCCCATATCCAACCTCTCGAAAGTTGAGCGCCGCGAAAAGTATCAACGTCGCAAGACTTCGTAAAATAAAACAAACCCAGTAACATCAGAAAAAACAGCAATCCACATCCCGCGTGGAAAGGCAAGGTTCGCATGTGAAACCAGTACGTCCGATCCCCGGGACTCCACCTCCGTGAACCGCGGGCGCATCTGAGCGTCTGCTTCCCATACACGCCCCCCCTCCCTACCCCTCCTTCTCCTGCGAACTGGTAGAAAAGAGATGAACCACTCCAATGGAGAAACAGACGACTAGCAAACTAGAAACTCGTGTCCTCGTCCCAAGATGCGGGCGGTAACTGCTAAGGTTCGACTTTGCAGGGTCTGCTCGCCGCCTCGTTGCGAAGCCCTTACATCTGTGATGAGAATCACGGCAGGGCACACACGTGGTCCAATGGATCCCTCTCCACTTCACGACATTTGTGATGGATAGCAAGCAGCATGTGAAAGATGTCGAGTAGTTATCACCTCGGCAAGCTGTGCGCTGGCTTGACGTTGGGCATTCTCTTTTCCGCGTCCGCGACCGCGGCCTGCGAGGCCGACAGAGTTGAATGCGCGCCCGGTCGCATGTCCATGGGGGTGAAAGCGCCCTCCCGAGACCAACGAACCCACACTCTCGATATATCAAGATTTCAGTGGCGTACATTTGGGTTTCCGTCTCGTCGGTCTACAATATCATTCCCAGGGCTAACAAGTGAGCCCAGCACCCCGCGGGGCCATCCCCATCAATGCGCCTTCATCCCGAGATCGATCCTGGGGTCTGGTATGTGTCTCGCAGCAAAAACGAAAAGCACACCATCGCCTAGTAACATCATTTATCGCGGGTTGACGGGCGATCTTGGTCTTAAATTTTGTGGCGCCGGGCCCTTGCATCTCTTCTATCTCCTCCCTCGCAACTCGTGGCATCTTTGCTTAGCGCCACGAGGCTTTCCGCGAGAAAAAATAGCTGAAGAGAACGTGTGCCACCCGTGGGGGGGAAAGAGCCACACATTTCTCTTCCTCTCCCTCGTTGATAAACACGAAGACAGTGTAGACCAATGGAAGGGTTCTTGTAGTCTAGCGTTGACTTTGATTTAGCAGCACAATATCAATAGTATGAATTGGCGCAAGTCAAGCCTCTCCACGGGATACCAAATCGACCATGAAGAAAACCGATTTCTTCGATGCCGAGAGGGATGAGAATGCAATTTCCAAACGACTACTTTCAGCCGGAAATCCCAAACTCCAATGCAGGGAGTTTCAGGAACTGTTTGGCGGCTCGCAAAATTCACCTTTGCAATTCAAAAATCTATTTGCGATTATACTGCAGCCTGTTTCCCTCTCTGGCGGAACTGCCGTGCGCAGTAAGAAGATAGTGATGTAAGCGTGAGTGTGCTAGTCCCACGAACGCCTCAACCCATCGTGCGGCAGCGAGTACGTATAATCGCCCTCAGATGCTAGGCCGCACCATCGTGGGTGGCTTTGTCGCAGGTGAATATGGCATGGCAACCGGGGGCGACCTTATCAACAAAAAACGCACAGCCAACGCGCCAAGAGCATGATGAAGTCCGCCGTTCCGGTCCTGGGGGGAGTGTAGTCTAAGCAGATCTGCAACGTCGGTCTTGTATTGCCAAAGCATAGGACCACCAACGCTAGAAGACTGGAAGTTTCGTTCGTGTCCGTAACAAAGACCGAAGAGCGAGAGCGTGAGGACGTGGCCAAAAGAACGAATGGAGGCGACCTTACCTTATCCGGGAATATCGAACAAAGAACACACAACAGATCTCAACCCGTCTGTAACGGCTGAGGTTTTGCGACCCAACGCCATCTTTCTCTCCCCTCATGGCGGCCACTTTCTTCCTGGTCCAAGATAGCATCGTCTTGTTGCCACCTGAGCCATTAACCTCGGGCATTGTCGGTACCTTTTTTTTTTTTTTTTTTTGCCCCATCCTTCCTTTACATGTTCCGGTTGAGAATGGAATTCCGAGGGTGGCTTGCCGCTTGACGATGGACTGATGTTGTCATATGCAGACTTTTCCCCTCCAGGGTCGGTCAACTACTAAAAGTACCCAGCAACCCTATGAAAATTTTCTTGTCCGAAGTCGAGACCGGTCCGAAGGCGATGCAGCTCCCGGCCAAAGGCCCATGTCATTCACCGGGCAGAGGGTCCTGTCAGGATCTCGTCAGAGTCGTCGCTACTTTTAACGCGCCCGGCATCACTGGGCATGGGGGGTGAAGAGGGGGCATCTGCTACTTCACATTACATGCGAGTAAGCAGCACTCGCGGCTGCCGGGTAGTCAGTAAAATGGCCCGCGATGCAACAGTATCTCCAGAACTTGTACCCGGGCCCTACGCAAGAAGCCTTCACCAAGGCTTTCCGCTGAAGTAAGACGCGGGCCAGCATGCAGGTGTTCCCTAATCACACACTCCCTGCCTCCTCTTTCCCGTCTTCCATGCATTTGCCATTCGGGCCTGGCGAATGGGCTGCTCTCCCATACCTCCCTCAGAGGACGGCTAATGCAAGGGACGCAAATAGACAAAAATAAAAAACCTCATCAGTAGCAGTCGGACATGAACACCTATACTCAACAAGTTGGAAGGCGTGCGACCCTGCACACCATCTTTTGGGCGTGGATCCTGCGCCAGTCAGACGTGAATTGGAACCGCAATCGCTCGCGCAGAGCCCGGAATGGATGTGTTATCCTTGTGAACTCGGCCTGGTTTTGGGGGCACTCGCCTGGAACTTTTGCTCTTGTGTGTCTACACGGCAGAAGTGTTCCGGGGCAAACCCAATTGGCCACTATATAGGTCGGCGAACTATCGATTCCAGTGACGAAAGCTTTTACGCCGGTCAGTGATGCCGGTTCTTGGTCGCCAGAAACCAGGTCATGTAAACTAACATGTGCACAATGGTGGAGTGACTTGCTGACCCGAACAAGAAAGCTCCCTTAATGATCACATCTCAACAGATCGTACGGTTCCCCGATAGTGCCAGATCTGGTTGGTCGCTAAATGCATGCTCCGTCTTCCTTCATTATTGTGGTTGACCGGCGCCGGCTGTTAACGGGAAGACATGTCGAGATGCCTGCCCTGATGCACTAGGGGAAGGATTTGCATCCCCACTTCATATTCCACCGACCGGCCCAGATGAAGTGATTTGAGACCAAAGCATTCGATATACTACGGCACAGCAGCGAGAAATTTTCTTTGCTGCTGGGGCTCGTTCGCAACGAACGCCCCAAAAAGAACATTGATTGATAACACGGACGTCTAACAAAATTTGTCAAATGCCGGGATTTTGACCGGGAATCACTCTCTGCAGCGTCAGTGTGTAAGGCAGTCGAACGTGTCAGCCCAGGGGTTTCTCGTCATGCAATAATGTTGAGACATGTGGCCCCAGATGCCGGCGTCATATCAGGCTGCAGTGAAGATCAACTGTGATTAGTAGGAAATTGCACAAAGCCACGATGCTGACCGTGGTATGCGCAGCCGCGTGATGGTTCGGTAAGAAAAGAAACGACGCAGACAAGTTGACGACAGAGCGGCCCTCAGCTCCATTACAACTTGATTACCAAGCCAGCTAACTGCCCATAGCACCTGTTGGGCCGGTCAGGCATGCCAAATGGCTACATATTAATTCCGGAGCAAAACGCATCGGTTAAAGTTCACGGCATTTTGCGCCGCCTGTCCCGTTTTCCAAGCCGGTGCGTACTGGCCATGTCC